GCAGGTCGAGGCTGCCGTGGCCATGAGCGCCCACAGCCTGGGCGACAGAGTGAGACTCTGACTCAAAAAAGAAAAAAGGAAAAAAAGTATGATTATTAATTTGGAATGTGCATGAATCAAACCCACTAATATTATTAAAAACAACAGGACTACATAGAACAACAGCAAATAAAAACTTTTCAGCTCTCCATGATGTATAGCAGCGTAAGTAAAAAGAACAATTCAACCTGTTGGCCTCAATATTAGACGGTGACTGTGAATTATTACAGATTTATAATATACAGGGGTGCTGACATTTTATTTCCAAACTGCACTGATGGGTAGGTGCAGGGAGACTTATTTTCAGGTGGAAGGAAACTTCATGAGACTACATGATCTTATAAAGATAAAATTCATATTCTAATATCTGGAAACTCCCAATCAAAACAGCCAGGAAAGCAACTGTTGTGTATCTTTGGCTTCAGGTATGTTCTTTACAGCCTGGAAAGATCTTTGATTTATAAAAAGGCATTTCTTGAAGTAGGTTCAAGTATAACAGAATTGCCTTTTACAGAAAGATGGCTGGCCAAACATTTATAATCAACTATAGATGTTATTTTGAGGAGTGGACAGTCTCTTTAGTGAGGTGGGAGGCATGGCCATCTAGAAGTTGAACGACTAAATCACCAGTGTGACTCCTAAGAACACCCACCAGGCATGATGGCTCACACTTGTAATCCCAGCACTCTGGGAGGCTGAGACGAGAGGACTGCCTGAGTCCAGAGATTCCAGACCACCCCGGGCAACTTGGCGAGACCTCATCTCTACAATAAACCAAAAAACTAGCTGGGTGTGGTGACATGCACCTGGGGTTCTGGCTACTTGGAAGGCTGAGGTGGAAGGATCGCCTGAGACCAGCAGGTGGAGACGCAGTAGCAGCGAACATGCCACTGCAGTCTAACCTGGGCACTGGAGTGAGACTCCTACTCAGAAAAACAAAAAAAAAGAAGAACATCCAAGTCCCTTCTTGGTACACACGGCTCGAGTGCGCAGCTGTCCCTGATGTCATGTGAAGAGCACCAAGCCACATCTCACCACCTGACATCACAGAGCTCAGCTTTTTTTTAAAGGCCAAGCTCAGACAAGTGACCTATCACAATAGGTCCCTTAATATCTTTTACCAGAGGCTCTTTCTAACTCCTACCTAACACTTCTGAGAGGTTAAGAGGCTCCTGAGACCCAGGAAGGTAGAGGGATCTGCCTAACTCCATGCCACAAGATGAGTTAAGGTAGCTCATTCTTTGTTTCCCTCTTAAAAATCTCAGTGCCAGCTAGGCTCGGTGGCTCAGCCTGTAATCCCGCACTTTGGGAGGCTGAGGTGAGTGGATTGCTTGAGCCCGCGGGTTCAAGACCCGCCTGGGCAACTTGGCGAGACCTCACCTCTACAATAAATCAAAAAATTAGCCAGGCGTGGTGGCATGCGCCTGTAGTTCCGGCTACTTGGAAGGCTGAGGCAGAAGGATCACCGGAGCCCAGCAGGTCGAGGCTGCGGTGGC